CATTGGTGGCCGTTTTATCCCTCAAATCCAAGATGGCCGCCAAAAACCATTTTGAAATTGGGCATAATTTGCTATTTTGAAACTATATGTATTACATCTTTGTAAATGAGTAATACGTCGTTTTATATTATTTTCTGGTGCAGAATACATTATCTGTTTCATGAAATGTGAGTACAAACTATTTTAGCCTCCAAAATCAATATGCATGTAGGCTTAAGTTGTTAAATAGACTTACATGTGCCATGTAGTCTTATTAGTACAAAATGTTTTATTAAATCCTAAAGAGCTTGAAACAAGCGTCAGAGATCAAAATGGCTTAATTAAAGGTAAAGAACACATACCTGGTGCTTTGAAGACAATTGGTAGCCATTTTGATCCTCAAATCCAAGATGGCCGCCAGTCACAATTTTGAAATACGGGTAAGGCATAACTCATCAATTTGAAGCTTTTGCTCTTACACTAGCATGTTATACATCATTTCTTATCATTTGGGTTGTAGAAGTCGTGTCTTATCTCTTCTGAGATATGATACAAAAAGAAAATATTACAAGGCTCCAACACCAATACAGGCTTACGTCTTCACCTTGTATACGTCTTGAAGTCAAATTTGTGCAAAAATATGTTATATAACAATTATAAAATGGTTTTGCCAGACATAGATTAAGTGCAAGAGACCAGCATGGCTGATTCGACTTTATGGTGACTACTGTTAGCTATTCTGTTGTTCATATCCAAGAGCCTGTCACTATTTTAAAGTTATGGCATAATTTACCTTTTTGAGCTGTTTTACTTTCATATATGATCGTAATACATCAATTGTTACTATTTTGGAAGTACTTAATTAATTTCCGGTGTTATTCTGGTGACAGAGGATAATAACAAAGGCATAATGTGTTTTAAGATGATTCCAAGATGAATTTTCTTGTAGTTGTCATATACTGTAGATGTTTGGTGCTTGTTCGTCCATTGGAAACAATGAGAACTAGGTAGTTGCCTTATGGATTTCTATTGGAAGTGAGATGACTTGTCTGGCCAAATCATGCTAGGAATGATCACTGGCACTGTCAACTAGTAAAAGAGGCTTCCTCGACTTTTTTGTTTTATCCCTCTTGCCTATCTGTGCAGCTGCTGCTTTCTAGTTGGTTTTGCAGATTCCTTCTTTTGTGTAAAGAAACCACTTTCCTCTGATGCGACATGTTCTCATGCATTGATGTTTCTCTGGAAACTGGATTTTAATATATTGTTTGGCTGTTTCTCATAGGACACTGACAAAACCTCAATTCTTACTGGCTGTTGTCTTATTGGCCTACCAGAGCTGGTCATACTTTTTTTTTTTTTTTTTTTTTTGCTGTGCTGCTAGATGATTTTGCAGACAAGATCTGGAGCTATTTCAAAGCAAAGTCCATTTGCTTGTCTTTCACGGGCATTTTCGCATCAATACAACTAACCAAGTTTCCATAGTATTATAAGACGACACATTGTTCACCCTTCAAATCTTCTGGACTATATTTAACATGCAAATGCAAGCCCCAGTGACTAGGACATAAATGTACATGTGGCTTTTTGGTTCACATTGACCAGTAAAAGATTAATAATATAATACCACTATGTATATATATATTTATTGCTTACCTTTAAATTATTCAGTATCTTTTAGTGGATGGTCACTTAAGATAAATCTAAATGATATATTTGAGCATGTGGTTCGGGTTCCACATTTTTGTTACAGACTCAACGAAACTCATCTTGGAATTTATTTTACAACCTTATATTACGGTACCTTTTTATTATCTTCTGTCATCAAATTAGCACCGGAAAATTACTTTTGAGCCCCCAGAATAGTACCATTTTACCTAATACAAGCCCACAGTTCAAAGGTTATAAATTACACCAAATTATTAAAATAGCGGCATGCAACCAACACTTAGTTTTGATCAAAATAATGGCTAACAATTATCCTGGTATTATATTATTGTATTATATAGTGGTATTATATTATTAATGCAGCCATTTTGTTTGCTGACACTTGTTTTATAGATCGGGCAAAAGCAGTTTTGCACTAATTGGATTACTAATTGTACATATAAACTGCAGGCCCATGTGGCGACTGAATCCTATATTTATTTGGAGGCTTATAAAAGTTTCTATTTACATTTTATAAAACCGAAAATGCATTCTGCACCAGGAAAATGACGTATGGCACGCTTATGAAGGTGTGATAGTTTCAAAATGGTGAATTATGCTCCATTTGAAAATGTCGTATGAGGGTCATCTTGGATTTGAGGCACAAATTTTATGAAACAAATAATGTATTGTGCACCAGAAAATAATATAAAACGACGTATTACTCATTTACAAAGATGTAATACATATAGTTTCAAAATAGCGAATTATGCCCAATTTCAAAATGGTTTTTGGCGGCCATCTTGGATTTGAGGGATAAAACGGCCACCAATGGCCTCCATAATGATAAAAATGTGTTTTTTTGCTCATAATATAGTCCAATAGCGATGGTATATAACAAAAAATTGCATTGAGATATATTTGAATGCGGGTTATCAATACCCATGGTTTTGCAGCTTTCACACATACCTTGGTAGGCACTTAAAACACCCTCTNGTAGTGCCTGAACACAATGTTTTAGTTTTAAAAAAAGAGATGGTGTTATTGATTTATAAATTCAAAATGAAATTTAATTCCCATTCACAGACTGCCAACATAACTCCACGGAAGCATTTTGTACTGCAAATACACCGAACAGTAAGCGTGTACATATATTGTTGTTGTCTTCTGACTAATCAATATAAACTATATATCATTGAAAAATATGCTGATCGCGCTTTCTATACTTCCCTATTTTATTCACTGTTTAATCCATTTTGAATCTAAAAAAAATTATCCAAAAATTACCGCCAATACATCGGTTTCAATTGTTTTGTGATTGATATATAGGCCTACCAGGCCTTGTAAACGATAAATTCCGTTTGCGATTTCGAGTCTTGAGTTTATGATTCGAACGCCAAAATAACCTCTAAATCTGCGATTTAATGTTATGAATGTAAACATACTATTTGAGGCTTTCAACAGTCTTTTCTCGATTCCGAAAAGAGAGCAGAAACCCCTCCTTGAATGCACACTCTTCTGAGTCTCTTAAAGGCCTCAGTTGTCAAGAACCCCCTCGTTTCACTTGAGTTCCAAAAGAACTTCCATAGCTGGAGCCTTTTTGGAATGAGAGATTCGGATGAGGCCCGAATGGGCATTGGATTAGACAAGGTTACCATAAACCTATTGTACTACTAGCAGGATCGATCTAACTCCGAGGGGATCCTCGCTAAATTGCATTTAGTTTAAGCGACTTAAATTTCTGTCACGCCCACTGAAGCTGCTAGGTGGGTTATTAACTTTCGTCCACGATTAAACTGAATGCAGTTTAGCGAGAATCCCATCGGAGATAATCGATTCTGCTAGTACAATAGGGTTACGGGAATGGTCCCTTAAACACCACCGCTGGAAACTCAGTATTCGTCCAAATCTGCTGTCAGTGTTACTTTGTACCGTTTTTATATGAGCACAATGAAATCTCAGGTTAAGACGTAAATTAGGCGTTGTTAATCAAATATCCGCGGCTCGAAAAGGCAATTTCGTTTTTAAGGCCCAATACCTTAGCAATCGGTGAGTGCTTATAGTATTACGTATCAACTGTTCAGCAATTTAATGCTTAGAATATTTAATTCTCGAGACTGGCTTAAGATATTGACCACAAAAATCAGGATCCAATAGAGAGGCTCACAACAGAAAAAGATTAGTAAAATGTGCCGGTACAGGCTGTATCGCTGCAGTAGGGGGCCCATATCTTTCAATGTTAAAAAGACCTAAGAAACGAATTTATTTCAGCCATTAAAGTATGAAATATATCATGATACTTTGTTGTTAGTGTATGAAAAGACTGAAGTTGATACAAGTCATGAAGAAAAAAGTATTCTTAACGCTTTCAAACTCCGTACTTTTTACCAATTTTGCACTTTTATAGAAAACACAACAGAAAGTAAGCGATGTGAATAGCAAGGATAGCTTTTCAATCTTATCTGTTTATTGAAAATAGAAATACATGAATGAAATGCGTTAATCATTTGGACCACAGATTAAGGAAATTTCCGATTAATGACCTTTCAGATTACGGCATTTAAAAAATCCAGCAAAGAACCCTTTTAAAGCAAAATTTAAAAATGCGTGTATGTGCAACGCGAATGAAACAATAAAAACTTTTCAAGCTAAGTTGCTAATGTTTCTTTTTATATGCATTTTGTTTGAATAGCGTGTTTATTTTTCGTACGAACCGTTTTTTTCTTTCGTTAACTTTAAGGGCAGTTGGAACATGTTCCATTTTGCAAGGAAGCTCTTATCAATCTCATCTGAAAAGTATGCTTAAAGTTCGACTTTTTTTTATCAAGTCCAAATTATATATTAAAATTATGAATGCCGAAAGCTCTATAATTTGAAAAGTAGCTGCAAATATACGTTTGTGCGATGGCGTATTGAGCACGTCCCTCTAGAATGAGAATAAATACCACAGAAATATGGTTATCCGGGACCGCCAAATGACCTGTGCCATAAGCTCATCTCTGTGCAATGACGCAACCACCTCTGCTTAATCAACATGAGGGAAGTTTTTAGTAAGCATATCAATAGCCCAGGGCGAATCTGCTATATCTAAGACTATTGCGTGTCTGTTAAATGCAATGTGATCCAGATTGGTCGACGGTGGAGTGACCGTCACATTCTGGCTTAAGGCCCATCGTATCAGCATTGTTCCAGGGGTTGTGCGGTATTTTCTAGCTGCAAGGTCCACCTTAGGGTGGGACAGTAGAGGGCTTTCGCGTGTGCCGTTCTCAGTCTCCAAAACTCCCATCAATCCATGCGCCATAAACGCGATGCCGTTGTCTTTGCAGAACTGACGCAGTTTAGTTTTCCTGTTGTACAAGTTGAAGTTACTTTGTACAACGGACAGGGGGAATTTAGCAAAACCAATCAGTTTTCGAAGCTGAGACATCTTAAAGTTGCTCACGCCTAGGGACCGAATTTTACCGCCTTCGTTCAGTTCCTCCAAAGCTTCCCAAGATTCTTTCCAAGTGCCACGGTTATCGTCTGCTTCGCACTTGAATTTCATACCATCACAAGAGGGCGCTTTAATCAGTACCAAATCAATGTAGTCAGTTTTCAGTCTTGTTAGAGATCTTTTAACAGAAACAATAGTTTTTTCCCTTCCTAAATTTCTAGGATGGACCTTCACGACGATAAAAACATCCTCTCGCTTGACATCTGGAGTGGAAGCTAAAATAGTCCCTAGAATCTCCTCGGATTCATCATCTGGGTCCGTGTCGAAGAGACTGAAATAAGAAATCGATTTTGAAGTTTGTGATTCCCCGAAAACATTTTAAGTCCAATGTACGTTAATTTTTAATGTTGGAAATAAAGTGCATACGTTTGCACGCCAAGCTCTTAAATCTGTTTTGTTGATTTAATACTAAAATTGTAAATTAACATTTTTTACAATTTAAAACAGCTATAAATCCAATAACAGAGATACGTTAGACCTACCACTGCCATAAAAATGTGCATACTTGTGCAAATCTAACCCTAAATATCCTAAGTGATAAATATTATACATTATATTCTCAATGACAAAAATCTATCATAACAAAATTAATCAAAAGATTTCATTCACCTGTATTGCAGTCGCAACGCATGCGCGGTGGATATTTTCGCCTTTTCAGTCGGTTGACCCCTCACGCCAAACCCCAACAAAGGCACTGAAAATACAAATGCAATTTCCCATTGGAATTTGAAACCAAGTAGCCCTACCCTTACGGCGAACTGGAGCCATCGGGTCAGTGTGGATCACCAAATGGATCCCGGCTGACGCAAGTCACATTGTCCATATGATCTGAGGCAAACATTTTGTCTTTGACGCAGTATTTTGAATATATATATATATATATATATATATATATATATATATATATGCTGTACTCACTTTCAAATCCGCTCTTGAGTGTGCTGTTGTACGTCCTCAATTTTCCGTCTGGGGATTCGAATTCTAACGCCACATCAATCGCGTCTGGGTTGATATAACTGTATTGGGCGATAAATTCGTGCATTGGCATATCTTCCATGCGTTCCTTACAAGTGATTTCTGAAATAAAGTACAAGGATGTGCAACTAGGGTTCTACCAAATTTAAACAAACTTTCCTCATTAGATTGATGCTTTTTTTTCAATGCAGTCACACTATACATGTACATAAAAAACAAGACTAAACTCTAGTAGTTATGGGAAAAACTACTTCACGTTTTTCACCACTATTGTAGTATTGTTTACACCAGTGTCCTGGGTTTAACAAGACTGCCAATAGGATGATTACTACATCTAGTTGATATACCAAGTAAGGTTTCCAAGGCCTCTAGTTAGGATGTTAAACCGAGCTTCTCTTAGCTTAGAGACTAAATTACGGGAATCATACACTACTTGTACGTTTGAAAGCAGTTTTGGTCCATTATCTAAGGACCCTGATCACATAATGAAGATTTCGCGCCAAACACTAAAGTGATCAAACATTCCCATCCCTATATGACTGTTAGTTGACATGTAGATGGGTATGTTTAATGACATCTTTATCCAACCTTCAACCCACCTTTGGGCGTAGCCTCCCTCCGTGCGATGCACGCCGTTGTCGCCGCCTCTGCTACATCTGACGTGTCTCCTCCCTCCGAACAAAGTAGATAATTGACAAAAATAGCCATCGCCATGTTAGGTGGACCGCCCATGGTGCGAACTTGGTGGTACCACCCCTCAGGAACGTAGATAATATCCCCCTCATACAGCGTGATATTGTAGATGTCGACTTTAGAAATATTTGGGAATTTGATGAGGTCGACGGCGTCCGGTTCGACTGGAGAGATCCCTGGAATATCAAATGGTGTATAATAATTATGGGGGTGATATTCTTGTCAGTATGTGCTAAAATTGAGTAAACAAAATTGACCTGCATATTAATGAATGAATGAATTCACAATCAGATCGACAGTCAGGCAATTAGACACAGACAGAAAAATAAATAAATAGACAAAGAAAAGTACATGTAGGGTTATTCAAAGCCAGATTTTAGAGGGGAACCCTTGCAAATATAATTCTATTCTTTTTTAGAAAATGGAGAAGGTTTTCATGCATTCGAATGAGAGAGTTTTCCCATCTATTTCAATTCTAAACTGACAAATTTTCTGCAATTCAAGGACATATAAATGTGTCATATTTTAAACGTAGTTTCTGAAAATTTGTGAAAGAACATAAGGAAGATTCTGCATTTTAATGTCCAGAGTATTACCTGCGTGATAGTTAAAATCGTCCGTATGCAGGTATTTCCCGTGGGTTGGCGGAATCAGAATCCATTGTCGTTGTCCCGTGATTTGCGCAAACAGCGTCTCTGTGGCGTCCACGTGGATGTAGGTACTGGACCATCCGGCGTTGAAGAATAGTGCAAACTGCTTCATCTAAGAGTGAAATAAAAGATAGAGAATGAGGCTTAATCTTGGACCCCTTTCAGTAATTAGAAACTTTAATAAAATTACTTACAAAAAGCATGCTTAGTTATTGTCCTAATATTTTTAATCGCTTTAAGTTTGCAGAATATCGCCTGAGGTATGTTTGCCTATCTTTCAGTTAGTTGTGACGAATGATAACAAATACAAGTTTTTTTCTTTCATTTTTTAAATAGCAAAGGCAACAAAAGGGAAAATGAAGTTCTGTCTGCATTTTCCTGGGGCTGTCAGTTTTCGATAGAAAACCACTAATTTAGCTGTACACCACAAAAATTTCCTGATTATATATTTTCCTCTCCGCTGACTGCAACTGTGTTGTTTCCTCTATTAAGGATGCAGAGAGGAGGTTTTGGTTTTCTTCTTAACCGACCAAGAAATACAGACATGTTGCATATCAATAAAACGCTTATTTCAACAGCTTCTCATTCTTTATAGTTACCTTATTACGTAATAGTTATGTAAGGAGATATAGCGTTTCATGGGATTTCTAAGCCTGATCTTTATACCTTAAAAACTAAAACTCCACTACAAATGCACATGTGCAGACAACATTTTCTGAAAGCCCCCTTGAGCATCAACAAGAATGTCTCAAATTCTTAATATGTGCCTATAATTAAGAAAGATATCCCAATGTCGGTATATCTTGGTCTGTAAAAAAAGATAGCCACGTTCATGCCACACCCTCTCTCCGCATCCTTAATGCATTTATTTTAACACAACTCGTTTTAACCTTCAACTAATATGTATTATTACTGATAGCATTTCTGAAGATCTACTTTACAGATGTCATATATAATCCAAGGTTTCGGCCTCTAGGCCTTTTTCAATAATCCCCGAAGAAGGCCTAGAGGCCAAAACCTTGGATTATATAAGGCCCCATTCCCAGAGATTAGATCGATCTACTTTAGATCGACCTAACTCCCTGGGGGTTCACGCTAAATAGCTGTCAGCCGAGCGGGCACGAAAGTTAATTACCCCCTTACAGCTTGTAGTAGGCGGGGCGGACATTTAAGCCGGATAATCTGACAGTAATCTGGTGAGACTCCCCGCGGGGATATCTCGATCTAAAAGCTCTGGGAATACGCCCTATGACATCTGTAAAGTAGATCTTCAGAGATGCATCAGTAATACAGTAATACTTATTTTTCCTTAATGATCTATACGGTGAATTGACATGAACCTTCAACTAATAAAACGTTCCATTTGCCCAGGTTGTAACATTATTCTTCTAAAAAATACCCTTGGGGTTCGCTTTTTTTATTCAAGTTGTTCATTAGGTCGGAACTGGAAAAAATTGAGCAATTACTTCTAGATCTGACATGTTTTTGATATTATCAAATTGTCTATCCCCAGTATTGCGGACGATCCTAACAAGAAGATAAAAAATTCATAAAAACAGGCTACCAATGTTACAAACTTAACCCAGCTTTCATAAAAAAGAAATAATGTACAGCAGACGATACCATTTTCATGATGGCGTCGCAACCAAGGAATCTTGGGATAGTCAGATCTTCCGTCATCTCTGGGGAAAGTGTGGCGTCCATGTAGATATGTTCATCGCGGTACCGACTGAATTGCAAAAAGAAAAACTAAATAGCATTATATATCCATCCAAAGTCTTCTTTTGTCCTACGCCCAATGTTATGTGTTATTCGATGCCATTTACTGAAAGCATTCTTTCTTTTTGTAAATATATAGAGAGAGACTTACACGCATACGTGCTTACGCAATGAGCACACATATATAGTCCTTATATAAGAATAGAGCGCGAACTCTAGAATAAAAGTGCAATTACATTTACACAATGTCATGCAAATAAATATTATCATCACCTGCGCCTTACGCTCACCTACAAAATTATTTACAAAGCTGTTTTCTACATCGCAATGTCTATCCCTTCATCAGACATGTTTTGTTACTGAAAATTACTGTTCTTTGTAATCCGAACACGACGCGTACAAGTCGCATGTCGTTTATTAATCGAAATAAGAAAATATCAAACACCTTCAAAGCCGAACAAACTAAGACCCGAAAAGGGCCTAATAACACCAGAGGACGACCAGGCTAAATAGCGTTCCTATACAATGTTGTGATCCCTTGTTTCGTAATCTGATCGTCTGATGACATCACTGGGTCTATTTCCGGGTCGTGTCTTGAACCCGCCTACAGTGCAACGCTTTACGTAAAGAAACTTGGCCATTGGCACTGTCGGCTACAGGATTTTTATTTTCCTGTTTGTGTGTGTGTGTGTGTG